CCGATTTCGTTTAACTGTGTCAGCCTATGTGCTTCGAAAGTTATAAAGGGTGTTTAGTAGTCTTTTAGAATCGTATACAAGTATAAGTTTCCAATACTTTTTAATTCCTTATATTCATATAAAATACAGGTCTAGGAAAGTTCAATTTGTTTTAGCGTACTGATCGAAATGATGAAGGTGAATCAGTGGAATACGGACCACATTGCATTTATTCATATCCAGAAGATATACGTGTTCTGTATGACGTTAATGATTTGGTAATACATTATGTAAAACGGCAGGCGAATATTCAGAAAGAAGAGAAACGTCATGCCAAACGTTATTTGAAACGCTTTGTCCCAGAATTATTTAATATTCCGCCCCAAGAGTTGAGTGATGAAGAGGAATTAGAAAACCGAGACCGTACTGGTTCGTTTTTTTCTTGTTGCAAAAAATTAATAAGCAGAAATATTCTTAACAAATTTTCTGACCAATTTATATTTTTTACGTTAGTTCTTGTTGAAATTTTTGATGGGAAATATACTATTCAGCTTCTGACGTTGTGATTGGTATTAAAGGTCAAAAACCTGAAGAAGAGCGAAGTGGATCACATGTAGATGAAGCTCAAAAGACGACATCAAATGATGATGCAGAATCGAAAAACGTATGTGAAGACAGTGTATTAGAAATGTATATTATTGCAAGGTTGATATCTTGGAATGGGATATGATGTATATTTTTCCAATATGATTAAGAATGATACTTGATACCAAGTATAGTAGAAGTCCTTTCCATAGCTACGAATACTATTACATAGAATTTAATAGCGTTCTTTGTAGTATATAGTTGCATAATTTTTCAAACAAGAAGTTTCAAACCTAACTTTTTTAGTATGAAGTTATTTGAAATTGTAATTAAGCTTTCGAAATTTTTGGTCTTTATGTTCAGGCTCAGTCTCCGAATGGAAACGAATCTTCTACATATCGCCTTTTCTATGGCGCGAATACATGGTGTATATTCATTAGACTTCATCATTTAATGTGTGATCGGTTGGCTTATTTGAAGAAAGCACATCGAGAAATCATTAGGAATCACGAAGTAATTTCTAGTGTTATGTTACAGTTTTTTTAAAAGAATTGTAATGTTCATTGGTATATTTCGAAATACGTCCATTACTAAGCAGTATTTGAAATATACCTTGGCTGTTTAAAGCGGGATTCTTAAAAATAAGTTCAGCATTTTTAAAACTTAAACTGATTGTTTGAGAGCAAAATATTGTTTGGAATCATTGGGGCTAAAAAATCTTTTATAGGGAGTTTTTTATAAAGATCTATAGAAATCTTTTATAATAATTTTACAATAATATTCGCACATAATTTTTGAATTGTGATAAAATGTTCAGGTGGAAGAGCGCATACGGATAGAACGTGAATCTGTAATAAACCGATGTGCCAGTGATGGTGGATCGCTGAAATCAGTTGAACTGGACACTAAACTTGGTTTGTCTCTGCTGAAACCGGACAGTCAAAGTCCGGTTAACTACTACAGCGCGTTGATCAATGAAGTTAAAAATCTTCTGGATGGTCTCATTGATAGTGTCGCTTTCGAAGATAACATCAGGTGAGTAGTAAAACTGATTGAAGTGTTTTGCAGCATAATAATTTGATTCGAATTATTGAAGGTGAAGTTTAAGTTTATCAGATCATGTTTTTTCTTTTTTTCAGGAAGATGTTTGGAACAGCTGCGTATTTAACATTCACAATGGATAAAATTATCATAACAATTGCACGGCAACTACAAAACATGTGTTGCGAGGATGTGAACATTGCTAGTATGGATTTGTACAAAAAGTATCGTTTTGAGCATCCCGTCAGTTTGTATAGTCGAGACAAAAATGAAGAAAATATTGATGATGCTTATGAACGGGCTGCACAAGAAGTGCTTGCCAATCAGAACTGTTTTAAAACTTTCTTCCTTCATGATACCCGAAGCGTTACAATGGAACTGATCGACAGTGATGTGACCGAGGAAGGGGAGAAAGGTGATAGTGACCAAGAATGGAGCCGTTATGTGCATCATTATGTTGAGGTTTATCTTCTGAATCTATCTGAATCTATTTAAATTAGTTGAACGGACAATTTTCTGACGATTTTCCACTTCATCGTAGCCTATGACTAACCTTCGCTTAATATGGATGCAACAGCAAAAATGTATTGATATATATATATATATAATTTTCGCTCCAATTTGAAATCTTTTTCGATATTTAGAGAAATGTATGATTTCTTTAGAGTCTTGCTAATGAACCGTCGTCATCAGCTTTAAGTCCGGAAGATCAACAACAGATGCTCGAAACCATTGGTGAAAGGCCTCCTTTGTTTCTTATGAAATATATCAAAGTGGGAATGGACAAATGCAGGTCTGTTCTTTTTATGGCAGGTTGTTGTCCTGCAAGTTTCTGAACAGATATTGGCTTGTACCTCAGTTTTAATATCTTCATTCTGATTTTCCGTCAGTTTCAGAAAGAAGGATGAAACGAGTAAAAAGAATGAAAATGAGAATGGAGAACAGAAGCTGGAGGGGAAACTGCCCAGTATTATAATGAGTGAGGATCTAAGCGCACTGTTTTCTCCGGCTGGGAATTATAAAATGCGATTTGCCAAAGGTTCAGGCGATCTGCTAATAAAAGCCGGAGTGCCGCGAAAAGGGATGGATGTAAGTTTCCGATTTATATGCGAAATTATGGATAAAAAAGCATAAAGACGAAAGAAGGGTATATATATATTAAAGATAAAAGTCATTTAATTGATCTAGCTTTAAAAATTATGTTTATTGAAAAGTAGATGATTCTGGCAGCAGTTATTTTGTATGTCGTGAATATCGGCTACTAAATTTTAATTTGTAGAAGCACAGAATAGTCACAGAACGGAGAAAAGACCGTTTTCTGGCTTGGTTAGAAGAACGGTTGTGTGAAGATGGTGGAGACGTGTTGGGTCCTCGAAACTGGCTTGCAGATGGTTCACGAATAGTACCTGTGCGCCATCCTGAGTTTCCTTATATCACTTATAATCGTTACTTCTCTTCCATTTCCAGTACTTCGTCAAGTTCATCATCAAATCGTAGTCAACGCTAAAATGATAGCTTGCATGTTATTTCTGTTTTACATTGTGAATCGATCATAATTGCATTTTTTCCTTGATTTAGTAAATTTGTAATACTCTGATGGTATTAGCTTAGATTTTTGGATGTTTGAACTAAATAGTTTACAAAAAATGAGCTATACCAATGCTATGCATCTAGTTTGTTTTTACATCTCTTAGCGCTCAAAACCCGCGATTTTTTTAATTCACTGGATTTTGAATGACTCTTGCAGCACCTGTAGCAAATAAGTTCCCGAAGAATTAAAAAGTTTTCGGTTAGCGATATTCTGTGAAAATCAACTTGCAGAAATTTATAGTACCCTCTACATAATATTCATTTCTATTCACTTAGATGGTTTAAATAAGTTTGGTTTTCAAGAAATGAAATTATATGACCAAACGTATAAAATTGGGCTAGAGGGCAGATTAAATTATATCCAAAAGTAGTCCGCGAATCGAGCTTCTTTCTCAGTATTAGTTGATGTTTTGACCCATTACTTCTGTGTCGTATATTTGCTGAATTTTATTCATTTTTCGTCGATGTAGAAGAGTGAACAGATGTCGGGCCATTCACATTCGATTTTCAACATAATATAACATTGAATATCGTTTCAGCAATATTTCTTGCCATATTCGAAAGTTGTATGTTTTTGTGCATGAGATTCGTTTATGTTGAAATGAGGTAGACAAATCATTTCAACTGTAAATTGTGTTGACAGCTACCAGAAAAACCGGTCATTTATTTGATTTACTTCGTGAAATATCACAAGATCAATATAGGGATAATACCTACCTTTCGGGATTTGCGGGCACGTTAGAATTGAAATACTGGAAAGGATTTGATTAAATAAATGAAAACATATTTGTAGCCTTAAAATATAGGAAAGGAATGGAATGCAAAGGAAGTGAGCTATGTGTTTAAGAAAAAAAATAGAGGAGGCGATGATTTCATGAGCAGTGTATACCTTTAGCGGAATAAGCTATAATATTTGAGCTTATCTCCAGTATAAATTATACTGATTAATTGGGATCAATTATATAATGCGAACGAGAAATGGCATGTAACAATTACTGCGCTACGCTGATTACATAGAGCATTATCACCTGATCAAAAAGCGCAGTCAGGATGATTAATCCTGACTGCGCCTTAGCACGACATCGTAAAGAAACTCTAAATCATCAATAAATTAAATAAGTGAGATGCGTTAAGCCCTCGAAAGTGATCCTCAGCATATATTTCAGTACCGCAGATATTTCAATGTGACCATACTTGAGACATTTTCATGATTCTCGTCTCATTCTTTCAAACAACTAATTGGAAAGAGATGAGAGCGGAGTGATGCAGTAGTATGATCAAGTTTTCAAAATTACAAAGATTTTTTATTGCAGTACTTTAATAGCAAATTTAATATGTACAAATAAGGACATATATCACATAAACATAAGTTCAAAAAAAGAAACCAGAAAATGATCACATTGTCCACGGTACATCTGTTCTCTAAATACATGTAGTTATGGATACATGCAATTAATAATTTAATGAACAACAAAAACAGTTATCCTTCAGCAATGGTGCACCAAATTTTTAAGGTCAAAATACCGGCAAATCGTTTATCTTTCATCAATTCCTGTTTGATATTTGTAACCCCGTATATACGAATTATCTATACATGCAAGCTAAGGGAATCAAGTGAAAGAACTATGAGCTCTATCGAAAATGAACACACCTGACATATGCACAGAATGAGTATATAATGCAAACTCTAATAAGTGCGAAAAATTTTTTTTGAACACTTGTTGAAAACAAAAAGTGCTATGAATGGCTTGAGCATTTTATCGATGAGTACATTAACTCATTGATTAGCACTACTGCATGCAGTTTTATGCATACATGCTTTCAGCCAGAACCGACATTTTCAAGCAAATATTAACAAATTGGTTAAAATATTCCGCTAGTTCAGCAACTTCGCCATCAACACCTTCGTCCGCTAAATCCCATGGTGAATAACGCGATGCTTCCACTGAGCAGCTTGAGCTCTTACTCCTGAATAACTTGGAACATACGGAAAGTAATAATAAATGTATTACATACAAACTCGTAAAAACCATTCTGATGTCTTACCTAAAGACATGAAATTTTGATTTCAAAACAAAATGACTTCAACTTTTCACAGCAAAAACAGTTCAAAACTTTCACAAAATTTTAAACCGTTCAACAACAGAAGTACGCTAATAAAATACGGGAGCAAATCCAATATTTTTCCATAAATAATTTTGCTTTGAATTAAATCTTTCTTTTACTGTAAATTACATAAATTTTAAGCAGTTTTAAAAGCAAAGTAAGCAATTCTGCACGTAAATGAACAGAAACTGACCTTTCTATAATAAATGGTTGCTCTGATAACGTCAACCGCAGTTCGTCCACATCACCTTCTAATTTAATGCCCCAAAGCCTTTCCAAGGCAGAATTACGTTTAAGCGTATCGACTATTTTGCTCATTAAAGGCAGTAAATACGGTTTGTAACGATGTCGAGTTCGACTGAAAACAAAAATTTATGATTCAATCCTTGGAAATGCTTTGTCAATCACCATAAGCTGTCCGAAATCACCAAGATGTGATTTGATCATATAATCTATAGTTAATAAAACACAAAGGGCGACAAACTTCCACAAATCTAAACGTCCTCAAAGGGAATAAAATAAAAACAGAAGAAAGAAAGAAGAGAACATGGCACCTTACTCTTTTTCTTCTTTGTCTAAAAGCACTTCATACAAAAGTAATTTCAATAATCTAACATTACCCGACTCTAATGTAATGAAAATTAATGAATATAATTACGAGCTTTTTGAACCTATTTGTGTTTCAACCAAAGAAAAGCGTCATATAATCTTAGCTTCTTCAAATTCTTTGTGGATGAGAAGCAGAGCAAAGAAGAGAACTTCTCGGTCTTTTAATTAAACTCCAAAATCTTATAAATTCTTAATTTATGCTGAATGATCTGCAACTGGAAGTGGTATAAAGTAAAAAGTAAATCCAGAAACCTACTTTTTGGTAAGACGAACAGTATAGCTCGATGCTGTTGATGGTTGCTGCGTCTTCTGATAGAAACAAATAGTTTTAGATGACTTCCTTGTTATTTTATTGTTCCCATCATCTTCTGAATCTTTGTTATCGCCTGCTTTCAACGAAAGTCTTTCAAAAATCGAAAGAGTTTGTTCCATCGTTGCTTTTACTTTCGCTTCTTCCATCTAAAAGAGTATTATCATAAGATTAAGTGAAATGTTTTCATGACTCATTATGTTTCTTTCTTGAGAAAGATCACATATATTCGTATTTACCATCAGATGAACACTAAATCGGGATGAGATTATAATTTGATTTCTTTCTCTGAAATTCCGATGCTTTGGAAAACCGAACATTTATGATTTCTGATGTGTGCTCGAGGAAAGCCTTCAAAAGCATTTGTAGCAAACTAGCACGTCTAAGAAGTTCACTAAAGGTTTTCTTAAATTAGTGAATGAAGAGATTGAAACAGAAGGGTGAACAGATTCAAAAAGATAGATCCTGGGGAGGAGACGGTCCTCAAATGAACGAGCGAACAGTTAGCTAAAAAGTCAAAAACTAAATTATACGATCGACAGTGCTGCGTGTCATCTGCCTGCATAGGTAAACGAAAAACGTGACCCCAAGTAATGCGAGAACTATGCACGCACGTATACATTACTACAGAACTACGTACAAAAACCATGGCGATTCTTTTCACGTCAGAAAATATAGCGGTGTGAAACGCGGAAGTCCACTATGCAACGAGTAACACGTTCATAAATGTGGTGGCATTGCCGTAATTTACCATGATTCTTTCTTCCTTTAATTTTAGGTTAGGGCCAATGTCTTTAGGATGTTGCTAATAATTAATTAAGTTCCTTATGGAAGACTTAATTAGTCTCTTATGAAATTTAAGAATGGGATTCGTGTGAAAGCTTCCTAAAGATGATTACGAATGAGATGCTTTCGCAGAAGTTAACGATGTTTGGATCTCGAATAGTTTCATGGGATGAAATACCATCGGGAGCGTTACCTGTCAGATTATGTGGTATATTTTTCAAATGAAATAAAGGATTTGAAAGCAAGAAATTTCTGTCTCAGTAATACGTTCCGGAAGAGAACAAATTGTGTAGAGAATGTGATTTATGCAAGGTTTTGAGTGAGTCATCCTATCTCCTAGCATGTTCTCCCCTCATTGTGGTATGGGAGTAGTGATTAGATAATTGAAATGCTTCATAATAAATACCTTCGAGAACACCATCTGTTGACCGACTAAGGTGATCCCCGAAAGGTCAGTTGAGAAGTGAAAAGGGAGGAATAATGCTATAATATTAATTTTGGTGATTATTGGGACAGGTTGTTCTCGTAAAAATAATTAACACATTATATACAATACAATAAATCTATTGTATTTAATGTCTGTATCGAAGTTCATCGGTTTGTTAGCATACCAATCAGTATTCATCCAATTACGAATTCATGAAGTACTGAATGATTGATCTTATTCCATTTCACTTCCCTTTTACCTTATCATTATATTTAAACAGGAAAAATATCATATCTTACCCATTCTTTATGTTGCGATATTTTGCTTAGTTCAAATTTCATTTTTGAATCCATTTTCACTTCTTTTCACCAATATCGGTGATGTGATAGAATTTTGAGATGAATTTCTGTTTGAGAGAATGATAAACACTTCCCTAATAATTTATCTTCAGTGGCATTGTCGCAACAGCAATTTTGCAATTTGAGATTCTCTCGTACTTTTACGCCGGCAGCATTAATAGTACTAAACGCATTCTGAAAGTCCAAATGGTGTTAATAGCAAGAAAAATGTTTTTGGAAAGAGTTGTTGAATGAAATTCAGGAGAGCTGAAGAATGATAAGAGTGAACGAATGATACGAACGAATACAACTGCAACTTCCGAATTACATTTCTTTATCTTTTTGTTGTTTTGTTACCTTTCATCAAAGAGGCTCAGATATATCGTTTCGAAATAGCGAAATGGCACTGTAGCGGTTGTGAGTTCATTAACAAAATGGAGTGAAACAACAGATATTGTGAGCAGAGTAGTTTACTAGGTTATGAGTGGAAGCACAGTTGATGACATTTGTTGACCTAGGAATATGAATTATCAGAATATAAATGAACTGTTTAGGAATGAGGAAATATGATCACCAACCTATCTTATGCCACAGTAAGTTCAGTTCAGTGCGCTCTATGTGATGCGAATCGATCGAAAAGAGAGCACTATGTACGCAACACTCTTTTCCCCTATCTCTCCTTTCCTCCTATCTCTTCCCGTATACCACCATTCACTCTCTCTGGCGTCAACATCTTCCTCACTATTCTCTCTATTTTTTTAAGAGAAAACCGATGAGGACATTGCTCGCTAAAAGTGCTGATGTTGCTAAGGTGGGCAGAAGGGTATTCCAGGTAAAAAAATGAAAGGTTGAGTATTGAGAGGGGGATTGGTCAAAGAATAGAGAAGAAAAAATAATGAAGTTATTTCACACGAATTTTTTCGATCCATGCTGTTAGTGGCCATGAAATAGAATTTTTTGATTGTTGCAGTGATCATTGTTCCTGTTGATTTTTCTCTCTTTATTGTTATGTGCAGGAGCTGAAGAGACTGCGAAATTACAAATAATAGCTTAAGAGATACTGTTTGTATTTATTGTGATAACAACAAATAAAAATAGAAAATTAACAACTTTCAATCTGTAACTTCAAGAGAGAAAGTCAAGAAATATGATATTCATCCGGAATCCTGGAACACTTATGATACGCATTCGCTTGCAGGTGTTCTAGTAACAATGTTGAAGAAACAACTCTTAGCAGCTGGTAACGATGCAACGAATGGATCAATTGACATGATAATGGTTGCCGATATCCGTTCTACTGATGGAAAGTATCACCGCGTGGTATTCGATCGCTACCGAAAATTCATCACATTCACAATAATTGGGTGAGTTTGATCCGAATCTTATCTAAAACATACTATATATTTATATATTTGATTGCTTCTTGCTCAATCAGTTTAACTCATGTTAGAAGGTTATTGGAATGCGGAAAGTCCAGAGTAAGTTGTCATGAAATATGATACGTAAATCGATTTTAAGAGGTGATGAAAAGAAACAACGAAGCATGTCGAAAGATTTAAATGAATTAATTTGTGTCCGGGGCACGCCAATTATTATGAGACGAGGCCTGCCGTATGATTTGAATAAGGTGAGCACTGTTTTCGTAGTTTGTTACTTTACTGAAATGATACAGAATCATTGATGGACTACAGAATAATATGTCCATTTCACCTGGAATTTAGAAGTAGAAAAAGCTAGATATTAAATATTTTCATATGTATTTTATGTTTTTCACTCATTCGTTTTCTTGTAATTAGAATCAATATCTCATTATTAGTTTCGAAAGGATATTTCATGTAATTTTCGTGCTAACCTTAATCCGTGTATACCATGACTCTCACTACTGTGAAGCTCTTGCGTTGAATGCCTTCCCATTGTTTTGGACAAGGAAAATTAACATTTCCGGACCAAAAAATAAAATGAAATGAACTCGGGATCTCATAATATTATTCATCAAACGATAATACGCTTATGGACAAGGAATTTCAAATAAATCCAAGTTATTATGACTCAGTTCCTCAGAAAAGACGTTTTGCGTATCAAGCAAATCAGTACTGCATCTGTGGTGCTAATTGTCGACTTTATCTAAGCAGAGTAGATTTACAATTCACATAATTTTAAATTATTGAAGAATGCGAAGCAAGTCGATACTCCAAATCATTTGTACTTTTATTTCGCTGAAAAAAGCAGAAAACTTCATTGGCGTATCCGTACAGTTATCGCTTTATTTACTACCACCACTGATAAAAAGTTATGGTTGGATGTTTTGGACTCTTCTCTTCATGGTATGCAGTATAGAAACCATGACTTGAGCGTAATATTGGCTAGTATCACTGCACTATTATGTAATATTGGTTACTATTACTAAAAGTGATTAGATTCTAAATGTTTAAAAAATTTTTAGAGCGAACAAAAAAAAGTTTTTGTTAATATTAGGAAATTTTTTTTCATTTTTATTTTAAATTCATTTAGAGTTGGACAATGTTTTAGAGTTAATATTTTAGAATTGGAGCAAAGACCAAAAACATTGTTGATATTTGTGAATCCGTTTGGTGGTAAGGGCAAAGCCAAAAAAATTTATTTAAATCAGGTAACATTTATTTTTCTTCAAAAAAGGACTTATATGTATAGTCATTGTTATTTATGAATTCATTCAGATTTTTTACTGCAGTTATTGCTTTTTAAAAGGTAAAGCACTACCTTTAGGTAGACGAATTGGTTTAAATTTTTGAAATTGCTTGCATTTGCTAAATAGTTTCTCATTTTTCTTGTCTTTTTGGTTTTATTACTATCCTCTAAGATTTAACATTTAATGGTGAGTTGAAGTCTTGAAGTATATTTATTACGACAAGATGAATTCATCATGAAGGAAGGACTTCAGGTGGCCAAAATTTTGGAAATGGCTGATATTCAGTGTGATGTAGTAATGACACAACGTGCAAATCATGCTTTTGATTTCCTTAAACATCTTGATTCTTCACAATGGAGAAAGGTTGATGGTGTTGTTTCGGTGGGTGGTGACGGTCTCTTCAATGAATGTCTCTCTGCTATCGTTTGCAGGTATTCCTCAAAAGCAAATCCGTGCATGTACGGTAGCTGTGCAGCTCTGTTTTATACCATTCTCTGATCATTATCCCTTTGACAGTGTAATCATCTCTAGAATTTAATTAGTTGGTGACAGAATAATAATCTGTCTCCTGATTAGCACTATTTTTTCACTTTTAAAGAAAATGGCAGAAATTCATATTTTTTCTTGATAGAACTTGCCACAATAAGAATAGACGATGTTTTATTAAATTAAGTTTAAGTAAATTAATATTATTTTAGCAGGAATGGTTTTCCCATTTCAAAATTTTCCCATTGCATTTTTAAGCTAGATTTGTTGTTTTTTTATGAGCAAATTTGAATCTTTATTTATGTTGCACTTTTTTATTTTGATTGATTTAAGTGGGTTTTTCATCTGTTTTTGTGTATTCATTTGTATGATCCTTATATATTCCTTTTTCTGAAGTTTTTGCACTTTTCTTCAAACACAAATACAGTGCACTAAAAAATTTGTCTATTGAAGCATGAAATGAGTCTTTTTAGCTACTCACCTTTTATCGAATATCGGTTGTCCGCTCTATGCAGTTTTCCAAATACAAGTGGTATTTTTGAAATTTTTAGGACGCAAGAAGAAACAGGAAAAGATATATCTGATGTTAACATTGATGTTTTAAAGACGCCACGAATGCGTTTTGGTATAATTGGTGCTGGTTCTGCAAATTCCATTGTTTCTTCCGTTCATGGCACTAGTGATTGCCCAACTGCTGCTATACATATCGCGCTCGGTAGGTTTTAGAGATAAAATATTCTTTTTGAAATAAAACAAAGAGGTTGCTGTTTTTGATTTGTATAGCAAAAAATTTGGTTTCTTTCTTCCAAATTTGAATGAACTTTGCTACGGAAATGAAGAATAAAGATTTCGGAAAAAACTGGAATACTTTCGTAATATTAAAAATTAAAATATTGTTTATTTTTTACCATAGCTTAAACAGGATTTGCATTCCTAATCCATGTCAGGTAGTGCATGTTCGGTAGATGTGTGCACGGTTCACAGAGGCGATGATCTCATGCGCATATCTGCAAATGCAATTTCATATGGTTGGCTTGGTGATGTATTAGCCGATTCTGAGCGATACAGATGGATGGGACCTTTAAGATATCAATATTCCGGTATATTTTAAATTTGATGATATTGAATTTTATGCTCTCATCATTTAGGTGTTTTTTAGTGTTTATTTTTCCACTTCATATTACATTTTCAGCCTTACGAACAACACTGCGCAATCCTGCTTATTTTGGTCGTGTATCGTTTAGTTTAATTCCGGAAGCCGCTGAAAAGAATGACTTAAGTCTTTTGCCGAAATGCACTAATCAGTGCTCCATTTGTGACAAGTGATTTTTAAATTATAGAAAAATTATAAAGATTTTCAAAAATAGGTATAAAATAGGAAAAATGTAGCAACATTTATACTTATTATTTAACTTAAATTATGTATTTTTTTTATCGTTTCATAAACCTTCTATTGGTTTTTCCTCCTTATTTAAGTGGACCGTATTGATTGTTGTTATATTTCGCATTGTGTAAGGCAACCTCATTTACTATCCTCATACAACCGGAAGAATACTTCGTCGTATCGGAATGCGTGCAGAATAGGAGTTTTTTTTACAACTTTTTGTGACTCTTGCTAGTTTCTTTTTTATGGTGACTGATTTACCGATGAATGTGAACACGAAACTTAATCTGTAGGACTGTTTTCCACAGTAACCTAATCTAATGACTTTCTGATTTAATAATTTTTTTGCAGAAGTGTTGAAGCCGATAAGAACTATCCATTTCATTTACAAACTGAATTTTGTCATATCATATGTTGCGTAGTGCCGTGTGTTAGCCCATTTACGCCGTATGGACTGGCTCCGTTTACTGGCATTGGTGATGGAAGTATGGATTTAGCTCTAATTCCTCGAATTTCTCGTTGTTCCAATTTATCATTCATTGGGAAAGTTGCAATAAATGGACCTAAAAGTGTTTTATCGATGGGCAGTAAGTTAAATGTTTTCCGAGTTGCTCGGTGGGCATTTACACCTGCTTCCTTGCTTGAACATATGAATGCTAATGAATCCTTCGATTCAACTAATGCTCAGGGCTCGTGGAATTTGGATGGAGGTGAGTACTTTAATTTTCAGTTCTCTTTTTCATTTTAATGGTACTCTATGTGTTAAGGTGATTCTTTGTTCTTTATAAATTTATGAATTGAATTCTGGCTATCTGTTTGCATTATCACTTTTTATTTAAATTTTCAAATCAAGTCATTATTATTTTTTCACTTATTCTTTTCCTGCTTCCTTTGACTAAATATAAATTATTCAATCTAATAGCAAAGATTAAAATAACAAATTGGCGTTTACGTATCGCTTTGGATTTAAGTCCAGAAATTTACTTTTGTTTTTAATTTATCTTAGAAACTTGTGGAAATTCTTCCCTTTATCACAGCGCCGAGTACTATATGTTGTTCTTCATTTCGTATTTTTCATATTACGTTAGGTATTTGCATCGTTAAGTATTTTCTTTTCTTGTTTTATCCAAGATTTACTAAATTATTTTAATTTTCAGAAATATTGCCACAACCGAAAGATGCTACATTCCAGTTTAGGTACGTCTTTTTTCGAAAATTTTCATTCGCAATGTAATATTCTCATTTCTTATATATATTTATATTTCTGTTAGGTTGCACCCTCGGTTGATAAAATATTTCGGACGTGAAGTAGATTTGCATTCTCCATCAAAGCGCTCTGGTTGCTGCTCACGGGATTACCGGAAACTGTCGAATATTGTTCGAATACGATTGAACTAATAATAATTTGTTCTTATTAATCATTTCTTTTGATTTTTTGATTTGCCAAGCTGCGGTGATTCTTTTAAAACATTTTTTTTTTGATTTTATGAGCCTGAGCTTTATTCTGCTATTAAAAGTGAGTGATACAGAAGTTGAAATTTTATTGGAATGAAAGGAATTTTCGCATGAAATTCTCATGGGCCATGAGAAAGAAAAATTGGAAAATTATTGTAAGGAATTCATCGTGATACTTCTTTGCTATCGCATTGAAAACATTTCATCACGATATCAATAAAGCGAGCAACTTATACTTATGATTCAGATGCTTTTGACAGTTGACTTTAATTCGTGAATTTGCTAAACTATTATGGAGAATGCTTAAATTTCATATATTGTGCTTAAATTTTGTATGTTAATTCCGTACTTTCTTCAGCCAGTAAAATATCGAAACATTTTGCCAAAAATTTTCAAAACTTTGTTAGCACACGTGTTTCTTTTACTTCCATTTTAACAGATATACTTGTTATTTTAACACTCTAGAATAATTCCTCTTGAACTTTGTTTTCAGGCATAAATCATTTAATCATAATATTTCATAATAACATTGTGTAATTATGCTTATTTTCGCGAAATTATTACCAATTTCTCAACAGTGAAGTATCTTTGTTGGTTTATTGCTGTTTCGGAAAGTATGTCCGGCCAAAAAGTTTTTGCTGAAAATTCTTATTTGTCAGGCAAATGTTTTATTATACTTTCATTAGTTGTATCTTTATCTTTATCTATATCATCTTTTCAAACTCGCCTTACTCGTTTCATGTTAAGGCAAATTTTCTGTATTCGACGACTTAACGGTATGTGTGATACTTCCATAAAAACATTTTCAAATTTGAAGATTTTCGAACAGTATAAATTTTTTTAAGTGTCAACATTTATATGTTATATTATATATATATTTTTATATATATATATAATTAAGTAGCATTGGCTATGATTTCTTGCGTGCATTGTGTTCGCAGAAATGTTCATCTGTTATATTTTGGCTTGCACTTTGCATAAGCTAAGACTTGATAATGAAGAGGTGATTAATTGACGAAAGTTGTATCTGTTCCAATGATTAATTGATTAAAGCAAAAATGGCGTTACCTAACTCTGATTAAACATTTTAATAATGTTGTATTTCGATTTATCAGTATTCAACACCGTCATATTTCCCAGCGTATTTTGCTTATGAGTAAAATTTTTATACATAACAATATGTGAATGACATACTGCAAGTATTTACCTGTAATGAGTATCTGTAGGTAAATGTTAATTCTGGAAAGCTATAAAAAGTGATGAACGAATATTGAAGGTTTCAGCAGATGATTTTTTTTAATATATGATACTTGGAAGTTATAATGTTTGCGTAATCAGCGACTTGCACATGCTTTTTGCAGCGTGGTTTTTGATGAATCGTCTCTTTACATCCTATTACGCAACGAGTTTTCAACGAAGTGATGTGAAAGTTTTACGCGATTTCAGTTGGAGTGCTAAAGTAAATTTGAACTTTGGTATATTTCTGGTGATTCCTTTTCAAGGGAGTGTCGAAATTTGTTGAATTTTGAAATCGAAATATTTTTATGCAGTAGGGAAGCCATATTTTTCTGTTCAAATGAATAGGCATCAGTCTGTTGCATAATCTGTCCAACATGCCTATATTCCCAAGCGGGCACAGCATTATAGGTTTTCTGAGCTTTGTAAGTGAGTTATCTTTTTGGTTTCAACTAATTTTGGTCAACAGGAAAGAGCTGTAGTTGATTTTATATATTAGCAATTTGTTAAAGCTCTAATCAAGTAATGTACTTTTCAAACTATATAAATGTAATTTTTAGTTGGTCGGTGATTGTGATACAGCCTTGGAGAATCTCAAACCTATAGTTGTGCTTACATTACATTTTGTTGAAGGTGCTGTCAAAACATACGAATTTACTGAGGAAGAAGTAATCGAATTTTTCCCAAGTTCATAATAAGCGCTTAAATTGTGAATGGTATCAACCATGGTGCTAAATTAGTCCACGGTTTTCTGCTTTATTTTGGAAAAAAATACTCATGAAAATTTTTATTTAAATTGATAGCGCAGTTGTCTTGAAATTTAATGGTGAAATAACGGAGTCTCCGCTTGCTAATGAACCCGAATTTCTGCTACTTATAGTTGAAGCGCTTTATTGGCGATTTAGAAGAAATTCAGCAGAAATTTAATTAGTGGTGGAATGTATTCAAAATTACCACCGGGGTGAGTGTTTCCTTAGAGTTGTTACTATATTCCATAGTAGCTGTCAAGATTTTATTTCAAAAAATTTTGTGTAAAAACTGGGAATTAACAACTTTCAATGTTAGATTTATTTAAGATATATTACTAAATCAACTGCAATTATCCTATCATCTTCTACACTGTTATATGGATTTATCGAATACATCACAGGAAATGAAGTCTTTCAGCGGAAACAAGTAAATATTTTCAATCCTAAATCTAAATTTTGATAAGAAATGAAGTTTTTCTAAAAGCATAAAAATTTTGAGGAATTTTTTTGTTTTCTGAAATTTTATGGTTAGGATTCAAAATTTTAGTTCATGCCACTACTGAATTGCATTCTAAGACCAGAACTGACAGTGCAGCTCAGTATTTATTTGGCGAAGTATCGTCTATTACCGCTATTCGGTCACAGTTATCGAGAGTATCCGGAACTTAATTGTAACGTAATGAATATGCACTTCAGGAATCCGCTTGGATTGGCTGCTGGCTTTGATAGGGGTAAAACTTTTTGGAATTATGGTTCTTTAGATGCTTTGATAAGGAATTCAGAAATCAGAAAGTGTTAGCGATTCATCTATCCTGCAAATGATATAGATGGAATACCCTAGCAGTTGTTTAAATGAAAGCATTAATTTTTCATATTATCTCTACCTTATCCAGGTCCAATAGTTTTCTTGTTGGAAGTTATGAATCCATTACTTTAGTTTCTTTTTTTAGACGCTGAAGCAATAAAAGGCTTTCGGAAAAGTGGTTTTGGTTTTATTGAAGTAGGCACCGTAACACCGTTACCACAAAAAGATTCTAATGCTGTATTTAAATCTTTATTCCGAGATGAAGTAAGCTTTTTCAATTTCATTTTGACCAGAGAAATCTTGCAAAGCAAAAATTTTTGCAAGAGAAATGCAAGATAAAATTTGTTATTCTTCAACAATAATTTTAAGCGTTGACAGAAATTTGATGAAGTATGATATATTTTTAGTTCCAAATTCCGTTTCACGCTTAGGTTCATTACGGCATGATTCGGTGGCAGTGGAATTTTTAGAACTTCAAATTCTATTAATTATTAATATCAAGCCGGCATGTTTTATGCGAAGAAACTATACAGAACCCGGTTCTGTATACCCTAATAGGGTTCTATATAGTTTCTTCGGATAGGATATGTCGGTTTTTCTAGTAAACGATGAATTTGCTTAAAGTTGAAAATATGTATTTTCAACTTTAAGGAAATTCATTTACTGCCGATTAATTTTATGTTTTCTCAAATCTTCGGGCAAAATCTATGTTATTTCTACACATATTTCAGGGATACGTAAGTCGCGGTAGATTTAAAAGTGCAGGACTGACTACTGTATATATATTTGTTAAAAAAGCTTATGAACGAAATTCTGATGTCCCACTTGGTGTGAATATTGGCAGAAATGAAGTTCGTTATTAAGTTTTTGATTAACAAAGAGGTTGGATGACAATGACAATTTTATATCTCTTATGGGTGTGCTTAATTTCGATTATATGTATTTTATTTTCATATTTGGTTTTCAAATTTTCGGCTAATTTTGAATATCATTTCGCGAGTGAATCTCGTCTTGATACACTTTTATATCCGTAGAAATAAGGAATCGCGTTTGGTATTTCTTAATATATTCCTCTTTGGATTGACTTGAGTTTATGTCTTCATGAAGTTACTTGAATTTGTGAACCAGCGGAATATCCGCTTAAGTTTATACAAGATAATTTTACTATTAATATATGTAATTTCAAAACGGAAGGTAGACGATGGGCATGCAAGTGTACATATTTTTAATTTTAACATTTTTCTTTGTAAATAATCCTCATTTTTTATTGAATGAGCTTCTTAAAGCTCTTTTTTCAGAGTTTTAATGGGCTTAAAGCGAATTACAGCCTTGGTGCCTATTATTTTGGCCCTTTGAGTAATTATTTGGTTGTAAATTTTGGTGGTCAATTTGGTTCGGAGGAAATCATCGACCTGGAAATTGTCAGTATGCCTGCATCTTGTTTTAGCATCTTCTAATTTTCTCATTTTGTCATTAATAATAACATATTTCAGGCGTTACAAGGCGTTGCTTTTGCCGTAAGCCAAATGATACAGGTTAGTGGATCCTCGCCTAAAATTCTGATCAAAATCCCACCTGATTTATCGATCGCAGATTTGAAAAAAATTATCAAGGTTTGTTATTTTGGCTTTGACTTCGATTGAAGAATTAATCAAAATCAAAAATGGCAAATTTTAAATCTTTGTATTCTATCTTCAGGATATTTTTCATTTCTCTTTCTACAACTCCTTCTATCAGTAAAATAATAGTTTGAAGATAGCGCTAAACAAACGATATAGTATAGATGGAATCATAATTTCGCACTCTACCACAAGCCATCCGAAAAATCTTCAAACTATGGTACTGAAAGATGGTTTTTTGAGTGGAAAGCCACTACGAGATATAAGTACAGACTGCATACGCAATGTTTACAGGTATCTTTGAAACTTTTTTGACACAGGGGTTAGTTCCATTGAGGTGTAACCATTAAAATTACCTTTTAAATATTTGCACTTGTTGAAAGCAAAACAAAACATGCACTTTAATTTAGTTCAGTGATGTTTCTACAATTTGTATGATTCTTGGAAATCATTAGAATTCTTATTTTAGTGTGCTATGACATATATGCTATTGGAATAGGATTTTTTAATTGATTTAGTTTTATAGTTTATCACATGGTAAAATTCCGATCATCGGATGCGGAGGTATATCGTCTGGTGAAGATGCATATGAGAAAATTCGAGCTGGAGCAAGTCTCCTGCAGCTTTATTCATCGCTTCTTCATCAAGATAAGATATAAAACTATTGTTTCAGATTATGTCTAGCTTCATTTTTAGAAGAAAATTTACATTCGATGGTATTTGTCCGATCCCTTTCGATGGTAATAGGAAATATTCTTATTAATATACTGCTTCCAGGCGCCAGTGTATTTATATTGTTGCTGCTGCGATATTTTGTATAAAATATCTGAATTACTGAATATTATATTGTCGCAGTGTGGCTATTTTTTGCGATGCAGTTGTTTAGTTGTTTTTAAAATTCACAAATTTCACTATGAAAGAGCTTGGATATCCTTGTTGTCTTTTGCGGCAAACCTTTTTTTATTAAATTTAGTGGGGTGTTAGTATATTTTATTGCTATTTAATATTTGATTTCAAAAAAAATTTGCTTTGATGTTTTCCTTACAATAATTCTCCCAATTCTTAACTACTATACGCTACGAAAACGAAGTTTTCGTATAGTAGTTAAGTGAATATATATATGATGATACAAAGGCGCTTGGGATATCATCGTTTCCCCATTGATAGCTTTTAGTTAATTGGTATTATATATTAGAACAAGTTCTTTTTAGGAAAAAGTGATATCGTTTCTCGCATGTAATAGTTTATAATATGTAGATTTTTTGAAATTTTTTTCAGATGCGAATTTTTTTTCCCTTATAACTTCTTTCTAATCAGACTCAGCATAATTTTAATAATTGTTGCTTTTAATGCTTGAGAAAGATCCAAAAGCTTAGAAAAGACTCAAAAAAAATTTTTTTTTAAAAATGTTTTCGAGTGATGGGAACTCAGTGTATAATGTAATTCATAAATACATTTGAGTGATGAAAAAATACCCATGTATCATAGTTGGCGGTATATATGTTGTCGGCGGCGTTTGTCTACAGCCAATTTAATGCATGGGCGTAACATATGAGGCGTAACTGGGAAAGTGAGGACAAATTAATTTTGGAATTCTATGCTCTTCCGTTTTCCTTCTCAATCCCCTCTCCCCATTTCACCCCACCCCTTTCAGCTCATGATTCTCTTTTTTTTAATACAGTAAAAAGTTATAGCTCTTACAATACTGTTTCGGTAGACTTTTTTTGAAAAGAGTTTGTGGAATGTTACATACGCAGTTGTTGAAAGGATTTCGGCACGTCCAAGTATATATTTCGATTAATGAAAATTATAGGTTTTAAATTTATTAAAATATTTCTTAAAATTCTAAAAAAATTCGAACTGTTGTTTTACCGGATGTTCATTTTCAGGTTTTCCAGTTATAGGACGAATAAAACGGGAACTGGTGGAATGCCTTGCTCGGGATGGTTTTCGCAGTATTTCTGAAAGTGTTGGTGCTGATCATAGGAAATAAAATTTGTGTATAATTTTAATCCTTATCATTGAATAACAAGTGAACATTCTGCAGTAGACGGATATAAATTTCCTTTGGAAGCTAGTCTTCAAGCAACAGGGTAGCATATATGACTTAATATGCACTTATTTTAACATAAAAAGAAATGAAATTATTTTGTATTTATGGAGATTTGTATTGTTGCGAGTGTAAATTCATGCTACTGCTGATTAAATGTTAGATTACCCCTTGTTAAATTCAGTAAAATTCATTTAAATTTCCCTTTTCTAGTGGCAAATATTCATCTCCTGTATTAATACTGCAAAGAAGTGAGATATGGAGTAACGCAGTATATGCAGCAGTGATGACATGATTATAACTTTTCATATCGCAGTATCATTACTTACGTTCACTCTATTTTTCAAACTTGCTAGTCCGCCGCATTCGAAGCATTGCATTAAGGTGGATTCTTAATTACAAGTACAAGGGAGAGCTGCTATTGCAGTAATAGTGTTTGTTTCAGTGTCTCCTCGTCTCCACTTTGATATCCTTTTGCGTTGCTAACTTCCTCTTTTTCGTCCATGTTTGCAGTTCAGAACTACCAATGGCACCATTATTTCAGTCTTCTATTACTGGATAATAATTTTGCATTTTAGGCAAATTAATTTCTGCATTTTCAATGCGTTGTTCGCTACTAATCCATTAACAACTCAGGCAATTCACACTTCAACAAACGAATGAATTAAGTGAACTAAGTACATTTCGTTTAAGGGTATGCAGGAGTCTTCTGATCTTTTTTGTGCGGAGTTTCTCTTGCTGCTTTAAAAGTGGTGACGGTATCAAACAAACTCTCTAATAGTGTCATTATTGTTCTTAAACTTCCACCGGTCACTTATGTGGCATTATCTTCTGGCAGTACTGTCTAGCAGATCTTGCTACTTCGTCAATATGATATATGAAGATAGAAATTGTTCAAAATTTGTCGGACTCGAAAATCCAGGTGAAAATTTATTTTCTTGAATGTCAATTTCTCAGGTAGTGTATAAAGTTTGAATTCGACAAAAAGATCCGAAGTTCACATCCCAATTTCTTCTTAAATTTATTGAATGGGAGTAGAAGCTAGTGATTCACAAGTTTGGTAGAGATCTCAACCAGTAAAAATGACTTAATGCTCGTAATTTAAATGACTTTTAATGTTTGGTTAAGACTGGACTGTACATCGTAGTAGATAGAAAATTACCATCTGTCTTACCCCGTCATCATAAGTACATTCATTTTTTCAGAAAAAGTTTCGAAACAGTTATAAATTTCAGAAGATAGGAAGTATTATTTTATAATCCAAAATTATCAAGTTACAAGAATTTATTTGTAATTATTATTCATTCCCAAGCCAAGAAAAGAAAATTGCTGACGTCGTCAGGCTTTTCATTCTCAATAAAAATAAATTTCAATTCCATGTTCACTCTTAAATTAGAAAATGGCTTTGTTGAATTGATATTAATAAAAACAAAGAAGATAAATAAATATATATAATAAAAGTAAACATAAATAAATATAGAATGTGTGAGTAATTTATATTTATTATAGAAGGCTTCACTCAAATTTCTACTTCTGAACCTCATATATCTTTAGCGCAACTGAACATCTTTCATTTTATCAGTAAAAGAGAAGGTTTTGCCTTTATAATTTTAAATGATTCAAGTAATCAACATAATAAATCTATATGAGAAGAGAACGAAGCTTCTGCAGATGTTTGATTTTACCATTTTAGAACATGAAGGAAAGAGAAGGAAAAGAAATATGAATGCTTGAAAATTTAATTATTGCTCATTTCTTAAATTGATCATTCTTTGACCAAGCAAGCTAGCCACCGAGAAGAATTATTATTGCTGCTCCCAAATTCCCTCTGTTCTAAAGCGCTCTTACCTTCACTTAATTTTGCATAGGCGCTGCACGAAAATAAATCAAATAGGAGAGTGGAAAGTTTTTATTTTAATTAAAAAAGAGAGGCGAGGAAAATTAATTGCTATGAAGGTTGAGAAGAAGTAGGAGGTGGCATAGAAAAAGGTATAGGGTAAGCAGTTACTATTAAAATAAGGACACAATTTTTTGCAAAATTAATTAAAATAGCAGTAATTTTATTCGTATGAGCAACTAACTGTTCATTCTGCTATATGCTTCCCTTCAAATTTCACTTTTTCAGTTTTTGCAAATTTATAATTATTGAAAGCATTTTATTTATAATTATTGAAAAGCTCGTTTAATAAAAAGAAGTATTTTATGTAGAAATTTTCTTTCAGTTTTCATACACTCTTATAAAATTGTACCGATTACAGTAGTAGGAAAAGATTGAGGGTGCTGGATTGTAACGAAGAGATTTTCGGATATCGGAATTACCGATGCTAGTGAAGACTAAATGACCTGAAATTATTAGCAGTCGAATAATTTTAATAAATGGTACGGACAAAAATTATTTGACCACTGCACTATGATCGCATTTTAGTAAGCTGTATGTCCTACACTGAGTTGTGATCAATTGTTTTCAAATTTCCAGATGGGAATAAGTGCGCATCTAATTAATTGCAAGGCATATGTAATTACAGGAGATTTAAACAAATGATGGAAGGTAGTTGTAAGGACACAGTTATATGATTAAAGTTAAGATCAAACGATTTGAACTGTTAACAATTGAATAAGCGTGGAGATATACGAACAGAATTGTTCGATTGGTTTTTTCTAAATTTTTTAAAGAACGAAATTTTTTCTCCTAAAGAGTACGAAATGAAAGGAGTGAAGGAAAAGAAAAGGAAGAGATTATTTGAAATTAAAAGAAAAAATTGTTGGAATAAGTAGGCCGTAGTATTAAAGTGAACTTCATCTATTTTACTTTCATCTACCTCTCCAGATCCCTAATCCATTTCCTTATTTCTCCAAATAATGTTTTGATTTCCAAAAAGCTACTGTTAGGCATTTGTTTTTGATGAGAGCAATCGTTTATTTAATTCTAAGAAAGAAGCTCTAATCCATAAATAGTTTCTTTTTGAAGATTAATTCCTGAACAGATCTCTTGAACTTTTCATCAATCATTGAATCATACAAAAATTTCTGCAGCACTTAAAAACGATTAACGAGGAGGAAATGTACTTACATTAAACACTTTTATTACTATTGCTGTTCAGTCCGCTTGTCTCAATTAAAGCTTTTTAATTAGATCTGAGGAATCGAAATTTAACATTGAAAATGATAGTTTAATAATGGAAATACTTTTTGCCTTAAATGCTCACAGAGTGAGCTTATGTATAATATCCACATCAATATTGAATGGCTTACTTTAGAATGATAAACATTTATTAATTAATGAAAAAAGTTAAATTAAAGGCTTCCCATGTCATCCATCCTTTTCAATCATTCCTTTTATGAGTGTGTTAATATAGCCTGCCAGCCTTCCTCTTGTACTTTCATTTCACACATTTCATTTCTTTTAAATTTCTTACTTTATCCCTATCTTCAACAATTTTTATTGTAAAAATAAATAAATTGGCATCAATAAAAGGTTTAGGTTTATAAGACGATTTTGGATTGGCTGCACTCCTAGTACTCTTAGTGCGGGATAATCTTTCAGTAAATTGTTGGCTAGTTCAATCTATTAAAGCTTTTTTGAGTCATTTGAAAATTTTCTATTTTGCT